TTTGTATACCTGCATATGGCTATAATAGTAGTCATGATGTTTTTATAATCACATTTACAACCGCATTCACACCCAGGATTTTTGTTTGGGGCGCTTACCAATTTTGCATATTTTTCTTATACAAGTTAAAAATTACCATTAATTTAAAATTATTTTTTTTTATGATGATTACCACATAGTACATAGTAATTGCTAGTATATAATATACGCTAATATCTAAAAATCTAAAAATAATTTTCAACGAAATAATTGATCGACAATTGCCACAAAAGCAAGTTATAATCTACTATTATATTGAATTATAAGTATGTATCAAACATAATAATCAAATTTGAAAAAAAATCATTCATCATAGTAATAACAATTATTTGAGACAAAATAATAAGCTATAACAATATATAATTTTTGTACAAAATATTTTTTTGGAAGACTTCAGCCTCAAAGCTCTCTTCTGGGTGCACCAATGTTTTATAATGGTTTTAGTTCAAATTAATAATTATTAAAGATCTTATGTAAATATCGCACCAAATAGATTTTTATCGTAAATACGTATATATATACATAGTTAGTAGATGTTGAGTAAGAATATTAACTTATAATACTGAAGTGAACTAAGATTGATTGTTATCGTCGACATATATTACTATATTAGTTATACGTAAAACAACACGTTTTTACAAGTTTCCACTAGACACGGGTTGCTTGTGTATTGAATAATATTATATACGCATGGTAAAAATGTGAATATATGGGTCATGATTTAGAAAATCGAAACCACTACGTATTATCCAATCGATGAAATGAGAGTGTTGTATATTGTGGTGACCGGGAATATAGAAAACCTATGTTCTAGATAATTTAAGTGCTATTATAATGTAGTACTTATACACGTGGAGTTGTGGAAGCATAAATGGGAATGGGACAATAAGAAAAAGAAAAATCTTCGTGGTTATGCAAAGACGAGACGGTTGCATACGTTTAGATAATGTGACGTTCGAATTTCGGCTGTCAGGTTGTCTAGTTGAAATTATAAATATTGCAGGTACAAGTAATACTATTATTAATACTACTACTGTATGTATAATAATTGGTCTGTATAAATGAAATGTAGTTATGTCGTCGGACGTCCTATTTTGGACACCCATTATACACACACACACACACACACACTCATATATATATATATATATATATATATATATATATATATATATATATAATTAAATCTGATGAAATAATTCATACCAAATCTTATTTTATTACACATAACGCAATATAATATATTTTTCTCTCATATAAATGGAGTAATGTTCCATCGCATAGCACACATCATAATGACTCGTGTGATTCGTGTATTACATTGTGTAAGCATTCGTGAATGTAAACGTAATTTTTGAAAAATCTTAAAATCTGTTTGATTTTTGAGAATCAGGCGAGAAAAAAAAAAACCCATTTCGTATCTTATAAACGTATTAGACTATATTATATTATATTTATTGGAAACAGCTGATGTGATAAGTTGTAAAGCTGTCGTTCTTTTCTTCTTTTTATTTTTCGTGACTTTGGCCTTGAAGACCATGTTCAAATGATTTGTCTCCAAATTTCCTTAATCATTGTTAACTCCTTCCAATCCATCCCTATTCTCACTTTCTTTATGTCCTCTTTTTCCCAACGTAGTCTTGGTTTTCTAGGTGGTTGTTTTCCTTGTGGTACACTCTCCTGTACTGTTTTACCAGTGATCCTGTCTTTCACCAAGAATGTCCCGCCCACTTCAGCCTTCTGTTGGTAATATCTTCTTTATTTTCTTTAATTCCTGGTCTTTGATACAATTCCTGAATTTCTTGTTTTTACATATTCTCCATTCACTTGTAGATTCGTCTTTACATGGTCCATACATTGTCCTCAATAACTTTCTTTCGAACACTAATAAAGCACTTTCATATATTTTCCTTAAGGTTTAAGTTTCAGAACCATATGTTACAACAGACGTGATAAGTGTTTGATATATTTGAGACTTTGGTTTTTGGAAATTAATCTGGATTTTATTAACTTAGTCAGGCCAAAATAACATTTATTGTCAGCTTGTATTCATGCTTTTATTTCCATGCCTATTTCATTCTTCTTTATTATTAGTGCGCCAAAGTATTTGAACTGAAGACTGTATTAAAGTATTTAACAGCTGTCGTTACTCGACGGTAATAATACATTATAATATTATTATGTACTATATCATAAGCGTTACCTGGTTGTTTATCACCAATAAGAGACACAAGGAGTCCAAAAACCCAACTCCTTTCATAAAATATATTATTACTACGCTCTAAAATTGTATTCATCACTTTTTAATATAGTTTTTATTTTTTATAACATCATCTATATTCCTAGTTGTTTGAAATAATACGGTTTATGGTTGGCCTGACTTAAGTGGACCTAAGGTCGTAGTCAGGACTGAGCCTTTCCATTTTTTTTTTTTTATATATCATTTAAAATTACATATGAATAGTTGTAGCCGGATCTCTTACCTACTTAATATTGAAAAATTTCTAAAGTGTTATAGAGAATATTGATTGCTACATAATGTAAAAATTATGAATTTAAAATTTAACTGTTCATATTAAAGCACTGGCGGCATCTTATAATTTTTTAGCAATTCCGCAGTAGGTATTCAATAATCTCGGTGGAAATATTTTTATAGGGATGCCGTTATATATAAGTATAACAATAAAAAAGTTTAAAAAATGAGTCGTGAGTAATGTTTTGATGCATAAATAATTGTTATGTACTAAATCCACTGTTAGTTAGGAGATTGCGTTTAAGGAATCATGCAAACAATAATGTATGTATATAATAATAAATTAATATTAGACAATAATTATTTTAAAAAGTTTTAAATAATGTGATTATAAATATGTCATAAAAAATAAACTATGTATTAGAAGTATAGTTTAATTTTCTTTATATTATAATTTATTATTTTGTAAGTTTGGGTTTCATTAATGAAAAAATTATGTATTTTTAACTATAAACTTTGCATTGTCCAAATATTAAATCTATAATAATTTATAGTAATACTAATGTATTATTATAGGAATTACGTAATTTTTTAAATAATTTTACTAACAATAAATTATAAAATAAGAAAATAATAAAAAATAATATAAGGAAAAAAAAAATGAATGTTTTAAGTACTTTTATAATATAGACAAATTCTCATTGTTCTTCTTCCTCTTCTCCTTCGCCTTCTCAAAACTATTTGGGGCCTGCCACCCTTGTCTTCAACCTCCACTCGTCACGATTTTTTACATCCCTTTACATCCCTTACGTATATACTAACGGCTCTCATATCATTCTCAATCATATTCAACCATCTCTTTTTTGATCTTCCTCTTTTTTGAGAAGATAACTTCTCTTTATTATGAACTGTAAAAACTTTTTACATATTGATGATTATTATATAAACTTTATAATATTAATCACACATGTAAAATATATTTATATATATAATAACTTCCTTATACCAAATATCAATATTTTAACATTTTGTGTCATTTAATATACTCTTAAGTTTATTTCGTAACACATTGGATGAGAATCAGAAATGATGTACTCGTATGTAAGCGATAAAATATTTTAATTATTTTACCAAAATAAATTAAATTATATCCAATATATATATAAGTACATTTAACATGGGATTTTTATTGAGCCCGTCAATTCTAAGTTATTAAATCTAATGTAATATATCCCTTCAAATTATTTTATTATAAACGATGTCTAATACACATTTATTATATAATCACATCATATCATCGTACAAATATATACATATATATTTATGTGTGTGGTTGATGATTTAAAGGCGAAACACTTCATTAAACAAATTATATTTGTCTGCAGTTGTAAAATGTCTAGAGTCTTCCTCCCAAGTGACATACCATAGATTATACACACCCGAGAGAATTTGACGCGTTACGATGGCTGATGTTTACCGCATTATTTATGTGCACTCGTATACGCCACTGCTCTGGATCCGTTGATGTTTGATTAATCAGCTTGTATATACGTTAAGCACCACGTGTGTGTGTGTATGTGTATAGATGTTTGTGAAGCATATTATAATATATTATACTATAATTTTATGGTTCATGGAACGTTCCTGTACATATTTGTACGAGTATTTGAATATGTTCTATGCAACAGTGTTTTGTAAATCCATTTGTATAAATGTATTTGGGGAGGAGTATGCTGTATAGACGTGTGTTTCTGGTGATTTTTTTCGGTGAAAATTTTGTGCAGTAGTCAGAAATCAAACCGTAAATTAATACATTATGTGAAATATTATTATATCTTTCATTGTGAACGTTTTCACGAACCCTCGTGAGACTCGTTTTGTATTATATTAGCTGACAAAACGTGCGCTCGTCATCTTGGAACATATATATACATAACAATTTCGAGTATATATTGTATAGTATTTAATTTATATTATATTATTGAAATTATATGCTCAAAAATGTAATTACACTATGTAGTTTTGTTGATTAAATCGTTAAAAATCAACATAATCTTATACACTATAATCGCAAAAGATTAAATTGGTATAATTTAGCCGAACGCATGTCTTATAATCTCGATTAATGAATCATATAATGTACATTATTTCCTCCTGTGTTCTTATACTGCAGTAAAAATAAGTTATCTTTGTAATACGAGTATTTGTATAAAAATACGTATTTTGTTAGTTTTGAATTTGAAGCCATATAACTCGTATTAAAAATCATGATGCACATGCAGCGTATGATTTTATTGAATACACCATTAATACCATTAATACACTATTATAATTTATTCGTTTTGTTTTCATGTGGTAGTTAAAATTTCCTGTGACTTTTATTTAAATAATGGATATCAAGACGGAAATAAGAAAATCAATATCCATTAAATTACTTATAATTATACTATTCAAATTTGATAACGCTGAGTTTATTTGTATGTTTCAGGAACATAGTTCATTCGAGAAGGCGTAGAGCGGCCACAGCAAGAAAAGAAAGGGTTTGGGATTTCGGCGTTATACCCTACGTGATTGACAGTAACTTTGGCGGATCGCACAAAGCGTTGTTCAAACAAGCCATGAGACATTGGGAGAACTTCACGTGTATCAAGTTTGTTGAACGCAATCCAAACGAACACCCTAATTTTATTTTGTTCACCGAAAGACCTTGTGGGTAAGATATTTTGTTCATATTGCCGTAAAATGTATAGATTTTTATATATGAATCGTTTGTTATGAAAACATGACTTGAATTCGATTTTCTTTTACTTTATTTTTAAAAGACATATATAACGGAAAAACTGTTAATATTATATTAAATAAAAATTACGTAAGTTAGAAAAGTAATGTAAAACTACATGTGAGACAAAAGATTTGTTATTGTTGAGATTAAAACGGCCTTTAGAATTTAGTAGCACGAACTCGAGCAATAATCGGAAACAACTTGGTACAGTCGTTTTCAACGAATCAATGTCTAGCGATTCCTATACCGTACATTAATTTAGCTGATATGTGTAATTTATTATTTTAACTTTTTTTTTTTTTTGTTATACTTTTCAGATGCTGTTCATTCGTTGGCAAACGTGGCAACGGCCCACAAGCGATATCTATTGGCAAAAACTGTGATAAGTTTGGTATCGTCGTACATGAACTTGGACATGTAGTTGGATTTTGGCACGAACACACCAGACCCGATCGTGATAATCACGTGCAAATTGTGAGAGATCACATCATAGTCGGTAAGCCGATGCAAGTATATTTTAAAATGTATATACGAGTACTTACTATACACACATTTTAAAAATGTATATAATAATGTACTAATGTATGAATTTTAATAATGTAAGGGTATGGTATATATTTTTAAAATGTATATACAAGTACTTATCAGCTGAAAATATAATTTTGGTAGTTGAAAATCTGGAAGAAGATAATAATATGGGGGATGAGTGGAAATTAGTCATTGAAGGAAAGGGATTGAGAATTACTAGAAATAAAATAGAGTAAACAGAATAGGACTTTGAAGAGCGATATTAAGAAATTGAGGATATGAGGAGACCAATGACAATAAGTGATGATGTGATAGGTGAAGTTGATAGCTTTAAATATTTAGGATCATTTGTAGAAAAGGATGGGGGTTTTGGCATGGATGTAAAACATAGGATGAAGTGCAGTTGGATGAAATGAAGAAGCATTAGGCGTTTCACAAGATAAAAGAATTTCAATGAGGCTGAAAGGTAAATTTTACAGAAGTTTAGTCAGAATTTTATAGAAGAATGAGACCAATTATGCTATATGGCTTTGAGTGTTGGGTGGTTGATAAGAGAAAAGAACAGAGCAGGAATGTTGCGGAAATTAGAATGCTTAGATGGATGAGTGGAGTGACAAGAGAAGATAGAATATGGAACGAATATTTGAGAGGTAGTATTGGTATGGTGTCTATAGTGGAGAAGATGAGAGAAAATAGATTGAAATGGTTTTGGCATGTAATGAGACGTGAGAAAACTAATGCAGTAAGAAATTTATGAAAATGAATTTTGAAGGGAAAAAAGGAAAAGGAAGACCAAAAAGGAGATGGTTGGATATAATTGAGCATTCTGAGGACCGTTGGTGTCTGAGTAGGGGATGTAGAAAATCGTGACAAGGATGGCTGAACCCAAATAGTTGGGAGAAAGGCGAAGGAGAAGATGTAAATATATGAGTTATATATAAGTTATGAAACTATAATAAATTATATGTTAACAAATAGCAAAAAGGTGATATAAAATATTTGAAGAAAACTATGCATAGTTTTCAACAGTAGCATTGAGTCTATAGTCTTAGTGATATTATTGAAATGCTTAATTTTTATTGCTCAACAGATATTTTTAATTAACCGAACACAAGTTATATAAAATTTAACTTAAGGTTTAAAAGTAAGATTAAATGAATTTTAAAAAATTGTAATCAACATAAAATATAATACTTGTAGGGATTTAATCATCAAGGTTTTAAATTGAATGGTTTAAAACATTTTATTCATATTATGTACTAAATACCATTGAGTTTTTTTTTATGATCGTGTAAACATAATGATATTTAATAGTAAATTGAATTCCTATTTTTGTATGTTACGTTAGTTAAATTATTTGAATTAAAAAACCCAGCATCATTCATTTATTTATTATATGACTGAAGCATCTTGAGTCTAATCATATCGAAAAATCCTTTTCCAAACTGTCCAAATACGAGTATCTTAGAAGATATTTCTTATATATTTTTGTTTTTGTTGAATTCTATAGTACAATAATTTAAACTACAGTATTGTTTTTTTTGCTGTAAAAAAAAAAAATCTAAAATACTAAATACTTGTGCATTTTTTTTTCTCGTGAAATCCTCTACAAACTACCTAAACATTATTTCTGATAATTAAGTTACTTTTACAACTTCTCAGAAACGTATAATTATTTGATCTTGATACTACTTCTTACATTGGAAACTATAAAAGGTTGAAGTATAAAATATCTAATTATTATTTCTGAAAATACAAATGTTTGTATTTATGTCGTTAAAAGTGTCTATAAACTTAAAATCACGTAGTACTTATATTAATTTTACAGTTTTGAGAAATAAAAAAAATATCAACCAACTGCAATATCGTTATAATCATTGTAATAAATTGTTATACTTAATGTTACGAATAATGAGATATTATGGGTTCATTTTCATAAAAATAACTAGAAACATGTATACATTTTGACAAAACAACGCTGAAATCATTTTTTGCAACAATCACAAACCTTATTGTGGTATACTGTGTGTATATCATAACAACGTAACTGTTATTATTGTTGTTTTTATTTACAAATACTCGTTTAGAACGCATGTGTTGCATGCATATATCTGTCAGTTAAATTACAAATTACACATTAACTTTAGCTTATGATTATTCGCCATTAGGTCAAAATTAAAAATATGAATTATCGTGGTCTGTAAAACTGATAAATCATCTGAAACACTATGGGGGCGGCGGCCGGTTGATAAATTAAATCTTCAGTGGACTAATGATTGCATTCCTTCATTAATCATCGATATCGTTAAACAAAACGTTGCTGATATAATTCAAACATGATATTTACTAGTATTCAACATACTATATGATACGACCTTAGTTGTAAGCTTTTCCAGATTCATTCCGATTTCATATGTTTGCATGATATACGCCTTATTTAATTAATTTCTCGTATTAAATGTAATGCTTCTAAGTTGGTATTAAAAATTTGATATTAAAATATCAAGTGACTGAAATTTCAAAGTTTTTCACTCGCTTACCTTCTTCTCCACATGTGCATTGATGGTTCAGTAGTATTTAACTTTCTTTTATAAATAAACATTTTAATTGCTAGGTAATTTTGCAATTCACACATAATTAATTTATATTTAATTCCATATCGAAATTCGATAAAGATTTCATATAATTTAGTGTATTTTTATTAAAAATTTGATTATTGTTACTATGTCTTAATTGTATGAAATAAATTCTAAACGCTTTGTCACATATTTAACAGTTATTTTTATTCTAGGACAAGAGTATAATTTCAACAAACTTACCGATGAAGAAGTAAACTCGTTGGGTCTTCCATACGACTATGATTCTATCATGCATTACGCTAAAAACACATTTTCTAAGGTAAACTACACATTATATAAAATGCATGTATATTTATGTATGTATGTATGTATTATAAGACAGCTCGACAGTATATGTATTTTAATTAAAAATACAATTCATAATATCATATTTCTGAGTATAATATATTATAAGGCTAATTGTATCATCAATATAAATAAACTTTTTCTGTTTTTTACATTTTAATATTTTTTTAGAATCTGTTTTATGCTTAATAAATCAACCGATGTGCGTAATACCGGAAGAAAATGAAATAAAAAGTCTTTAAAGTATAAAGTTCATAAAAGATTAAAACTTAAAGTAAATTTAAAATAACACTAACTATTTAAAAAATATTGTATAAAATACAATTTTTCAATGTATTTATTATAGTTCAATGCATAATGTGTACAATATACAATAGAAGTAATTTATTTTTATTATTGAGCCGTCATTTATAATAAAACATTTACACATGGTATTAAAACATAACGATAATTTATATATAAAATTGAAAATATTTAAAGGAATTAAACATCCTGTTAAATATAAAAAATTTTTTGGTCATATAATGACATTAAAAAAAATACACAAATGCCATAAATTGTATTGGATTGCCATTTGGATACATTGTTACTGATATTTTATAATGTGAGAAATGATATTAAATCATAATGAAATGTTGTTTTTACTAAACAAATTAACAATGAGTTTTAAACATTTTCTATAAATTCAAGAAGTCAAGTACTCCCGATAAGCTATTGATTAGGCCATTAGGCATTATAGCATAGGGCTATTCGAAAAGAGTGAATAAAGATTATATTAATTCCATAAAAATAACATGTTAAATTCATAATTATTTTAAAATATTTTCAGTAATTGTTAATATAACCAATTTATATTTAAGAGACAACTAAAAATTATATATGCTACATAATGAAAATATATGCAAATATTAGTTATAGTTTTATTTATGATCGTAAAACGGTTATTCTAATGATAAAATTTAAGACTTATTTGTCTGAATTTAAGTTATCTATACTTAACTATTTTTACATTTGAAAATATTTCATTGAGTGTATCTGAATTTCCTTAGACAAGAAAAGAATTTGAGTTTTTAAGGTGCGAGTTATCAAGATTTGACTGTAATATACGAGTTTTGTTGATCAACTAATAACAGTTCAATAAGAAACATTGGACATTGTTATATTGCGTTATTTCTATTTTGGTCATTATATTCATCCGAATAAAAGTTTTATTCTTTTTCATGTTTTATATTTCACTTTTTGGATTTGTGTTCGCAAATATTATATTTATTATAATAATAAAATAATTAATACTAACACTTGAATACAGGCTGGGGTAATACTATTGTAGGCTCCAGGTCCCTAGTCCCATGATACAGTACTTTAGTGCTAAAACGGTCTAGCAGTGTCCAGTATTTAAATGGCTAAGAAACCTCTTTGGTAGAGGAAGTATTTAATTTCAGTGTTAAATATTTAAAATCAAAAAATTTTACAATATAAGAATCAACTATAAATATTTATACTATAACAATAAGATTATAAAAATCAAATACCATAATCAAATATCATATAGAACAACTTTATTATATTATTTTGCATAGTCTTGTAATCTTTGAATTTAAGTGTAAAGCAAAAAAAAAAAAAAATTGTGACAAAAAAATAAAAAATAATAAGAATAGTGTATTATGTAAATATAACTATTTAGTAAGAAAACTTTTTTGCTACATTTTTTATTTGCAAACGATTCAATTACTTCTTCAGTATCGATTTCTTGGAGCAATTCGTGTTCAATTGTAAGTATTAATAATGAAAATAATTTATTTTTCTCAATAATTGATATACAAATTACCATAGCAAAAACATTGAGAAAACAATATACGAGTAATATTATTAATTTTGCCTGTAAATTCTTATACATAATATTTTACTTGTGCAAACGTGTATAGTCGTATCGATTGTATATATCAATTTATAATAACAATAATAATAAAATAAAAAAAAAACATAAAATATTACAAAAAAGTCATACCCACATATGTCCTTAGGCCCTAAGCACAGTGTCTATAATGTCCAGTAGTGTAGGCAGTATATTTAAATGGAAGGGGCAAAACATTTATTTGGGTAGGTTTGGTAAAAAAGGCTTTGAGGATTATCCCACTATCCCCCCCAACCATGAAATTTAAAAATTTATTTCCAGAATTTTAAAATAGTTTTGATAATATTTATTTAAATATAATTAATAATAATAATAAATTATTGGTGACATTTACACGATATAACTTGGGATAAAAAATGTAGTAATTATAAAAAGTATGTGTTTGACAAGAATCACCACAACGTTCGCGATAACCACCAAAGAGATAGTAGTAATCACGGTAGAAGTAATACGCTTATGTATTTATCAATGACGAACACCCGTTGTTAGTCAACATTTAGTTAGTAGCAACGTTTTGAAATATTTAAATACCATGTGATTAAGACACCACTGATGAGCTGCATATTAGTATTTAACACAATATCGACCCGTTATTTATTTAATTATCCTTGCGTATTTGAACACATGTAATTTATTATAGAGAATATCGCGGTATTATCTTTGGTGCGCGTTTGCGATTAGTAACTCAAGTCTATATTATAATATTCAATAAAATTTTCTTGAAACCATAAACACTATTAATATATATAATTTTATGTACATATTTTTATTCAGTATATAGGTAAATTAAAATTTAATTATATATTGTGTATAGGATAATCTAGTGATTTACAAACTGTGAAGTGATAAGAAAAGTTAGAAAAGTTGCTTACATTTATGTTTTGATAATTTTTTCAGACAAGTAAAAATATTTAAATATCAGTAAAGAGCCAAGTTATTATTTTACTATTAAATTGAAATTAATTTCATTTCATTTATGGGTGGTGCGATATATTTTTTTTTTTATCGAGGCTTGAATGAAAAAGCTTATGACCGTTGGGCCGCTTACATATTTTACGGATTGTTTTTATCATATACTACGTTATCATGATATTTTAATGTGTATTTATAGTATAACGCGTTCAGGGATTATAATTCAATATTAATATTATTATTATCACTACTGGTCGATGCGTAATAGTCATAATGGAGGAGTATCGATAATCTTGCAGTGCAGCAACGGTTAACGCGTGTACGGGCTATAAATATGTATATTACCAGCCGTGAAGGTATACTAACCTGTGTATAATTTAATAAACATAGTTAATATAGTGAACGTCGTAGTGTTTTAATTGGTTATAATTAAAACTATGTCAATTAGCCACGTTGATTGTGTATAACATACTAATATTATATACACGTATCTGTGTGTGTGTGTGTGTTTTATTATTATGCACATATATACGAGTGTGTGTTGCACAGAATGTTTATGGTGCACAGCTAACCGGACTTCAACTGGGCTCAGATAACTTTATATGTAGCAACTAGATACTGGGAGCTAGAACGATTTGTTGCGCAGTGCACATGTATGCGGTAATATTATTATGCTTATTAAATTTTTATTTTAATAACTAATCTTATCTATAAGCTTGTGGCCCAATTTTTTCGTTTATCTACATAACGTTGTATGCGATATTATATTTAACGACGTATAGATCACACTTTTTAGTTATACATGGTATTATTATGATTTATATTGTTTTTCACGTTTATGCGATATAGTCCGTTTATGCACTATAATGGCGATTAATTTGTTGTTAATGTTTTCGAATGTGTGTAGCTGAATGCATGGATTTCACATGTCCAATTCTTACGAATGTATAACTATTAATACATTGACTATGGAGTGTTTAATTATATTCATAATAAGTTCCATAAACTTGTTTACTCTCTTTTTGATTACTGTGTTATTCGTGTAATAATGATTAAGCTTGCGTAGAAATTAGAACTAACGAAAGTTCGAAAGAGGTATACCAAAAATGTGATACTACTCTGCACCTAGGTTTGGATTCGATATCGTTGTACGTTTATAGTATTGTCGAAATGGCCAAATGAATTATATATATATATATATATATATATATATAAGATGTCTTTCGAGTGTTTACTTATTTCGTGTGGCTTCATCTCATAAAATTATAGTAAATTCTCATATGATATCCTGTATAAATTTATTTGCATATTGATTCGTGTACCGCGACATTATTGTTATTACTTTGTTTCGACCGGATTTTTCGTAAGACTTTAATAATAAAATACATGTTATGATTATCTCGAAAAAACCTATCGCGTATACGTTCAACATAAGGTGCGGGAGAATAATCCAAATTTTTCGGTGAAAATATCGAATAATTAATATCACGCCGCCGAATGAATGACAAGTAATAGGTTTTAATTACAATATTCAATGAGCTATAATAAAGCTGTTATCACCGTGATCACTGTAGATTTAACTCTATAAAAAAGCGGTTCCCACCCTGGTGGTAATCATCCCCTACAAGGGTAAGACAGGATTCTTTGTTGGGTTAAGGCTAGATTATTTTTTAATTTATGTACATTTTACCTATTAATATAATTATAAATATTATTTTATTACTTTCAAATAATAATCAACTAGTATACCCGTTGCGAAAATTCACAATAGATAATTTATTTATATAATAAAAAGTATAGGTGCAATCGAATCAATACATAAACACATTTTAATAAATTAATAAATTAATATAATGTCGAAAATTAAAAGACATCGAAATGACAGAGTGTGTATTATGACTAATTGGTAAGAGCCAATGAGAATGTAGTATTTGGAAAAAATTAAAAGTAAAGTTGATTGTGCACATATAACATTCCTCAAACTCAACAAATTTAAGCAGTTGATAAATCAAAAGAAAGAGCTTGATCCACTGAGTGTTCTGAGAGTGAAACGATCAAGATCCATTCATTAGAAGAGGAGCTATGAGAATTCGAATTGCTTGAGTGAATGTGTCCCATAAGAAATGTACAGAGAAAAATCGCGTTTG